TTTTAATCGCGTCTTCTACGTCTCGGCCGTCCGAAACGAAACGTAGACGATGGCGATGGCGATGGGGCGAAATCGTTCGAATCCGGTGAGCGTGAATCACGCGGACGGGGCCATTTGCGTATTTCAATTTCCTTTCCCGATCGCATCCATGTGTACCTACAATATAACGCGCGTTTCGTTTCGCGTTCGAGGGGATTACCACCATAGGGAGCCTCGTGCGAAAACGCGCGCGCGCAGGGCCACGGTCGTTTTCTTTCGCGTGGCGAAGATCACAGTGTTCACAGAAGGCATCTAATTGCCAACCTCTCGCATCTCGCGGCTCCCCCATAAACTTAACGACCGCCTTAACGGTTGGCCCTCCCGGTATGCTAAAGAGCGTTTCTTCGGCTATTTCGCGAAGTACCCTGTTAAAGACTTCGATGGGCCGTTGCGGTCTTCCATGCCTCGCAAGAAAGACCGCGTCGTACCGGACGTTTGGGGTAAAGGGAACGTCTCGTTCGCATAACGTTCGTATAAATTATAATTGTGCTGCGTAATAAATTTTTCGCGTTGTACAACAATTCGACGTGACCGGGGAGAATTAAGCGGTTGAATGAAACCGGACAGGGAAGGGTCCTGAAGAATCCGAATCACGCGCAAACTTGCGGCTGATTATACGGATGGATACAAAGTACGACGATCGTTTCACAGAAATCTTCGCGGTATCGCCTCGGCGGGGTTGAGGAATTTGATTTCCTCGTCGGTTTGCATGATTCTGATTGAAGTGATTGAGAAACGCGGGGAGGGGCACGAGGAGGGAGGGGGAGTGCCGCCGACTGAGGGCCGATGATTGGTGGGACATTAGTGTAATGAGAGTCTTGAGTTAAGGGGTAAAACGTGGTAGCGGCTACCGCGCGCCGTGTATCCGCCATGATTAGAGCCTCGGTGGCGTTTTCGCCGATATCGTGAGTTCGTGAAATCGCTCCTGCAATTTTAATCCAGTCTCGGGGAGTCTTCCTTCGAGTCGGTGGAAGAGGAAGAAAAAGGAACGGGAGGAATGCCCGTGCTGTGGAAGAGATCTCGAGGGGCTCGCGGGAAGGAGCGATAACAAAGACGGTGGAATGCAACAACAACTCGGGAATCGATGCGATGTAGAATGAATATGCGCGCCGATCAGCGTGATCGCACGTCCGTATCGCGCGGCTTAATCTTGATTGGCAGTGTGTATAGTTCGCTATCGAGATGATTTACGAGTCCGCGGAATAAAACGTGCACGCTCTGCGCTTTCTTTCTGCAAATGCGACCGATGTATCTCGGTTTGCGTCCGTTGATAAAAATCCTCGAACATCGCGCATGTGATTGCTTTGTGGATATCGGGCATTTTACACGATGATGATCAGATTTCGACGGAACTGGACTCGCTACAGCGATGCACGCTCGGTTGCCCGTTTGCAGGCGTCCCATTGTCGAGCGTGTTAGTCGGCCAAACGTTGTCTAAATCATTACTTTGCAGAGATAGTCAGTTTAATATCAACTCAACAGATACTATGTATACATCGCACGGCTATAATAATTCCGCATTTTTTATATCGCAACACTAAAATTGATTTGAATTGCAAATTATCGCAAATTTATTCATATGGTCATACGAATTTTTCTTTAAACTTCGATATCGTATATCGATGCTTAGAAATATTCGTGAATTAATATCAACTTTTAAAGCTATAATAGTCGAAGTTTGAAAAAAAAACTTTATAAAAGACCAAATAAATTTCCAATAATTTGCAATTTGAATTATTTTAGTGTTGCAGTCGGGACAATTTATATAACAGTAATCACAATGCGGCACAGACACTTTGTGTCTGCAAAGTATCGCGGCCGGCTGAATTAATATCAAACTGAAAATCAGTTCTGCGAAGTGATGCGTATGTGTAAATAAAATCCGACGAACGAGGGGATCGCCATCGGCGAAATTACCCTGAATGACAATGTCTTCGTCTCCGCTCTGTTACCATCCCATGTAACAAAATTATAAGGGCTACCGTACGGGCCACTTACTCCTTAATCGAAGCTACCGGTTCGAGTTGTATTTCGAATGAAATGAGGCGATGCACCGGTTTCGCCGGCGCGGCAGATCGGGATCGTCTCGTTCTCGTGGGCATTACGTATTCAGTGGCCAGCGCCATTTTACCTCGACCATTTTTGCCGATCAAATCTTAATTGTTGGCTGGCGGCTGTCTAAGGAGGCGTGGCCACCCGGTTGGTTCACTTTCAGCCACGCGATGCACGAACGCATTGGTTTTCTTCCTCTTATTTCTCTTCTTCTTCTCCCGCTTCTTCTTTTGCTCCCCTTGCGTGCGTTTCTTTTGCGCGGCCAAAGGAGTGCGATGCACCGCGACATTCTCGACGGTCCCCCTCGCATCTCTCCTCGCAACCGGCGCAACGGTGTCCGCGCAACGCGTATGCTAATCGCATCCAGTTACCAGAACCGTAGGTAATTGTGGGCACCGAAGAGAGGGCTCTCTCACCCTCTCTCCGTCGCGTATTCAAAATACGCGAGATCCCTGCACGAGAAATTACAAGCGTTCCGTGATTTACATCAAAAGTCCGCTCTCGTATTCCGCTCTTGCGTAAATCAACCGTCCTTAGAGAAATTTAATATTGAAAGAGAATAACCAACTTACTTATTTTTTAAGCATTAAGTTGACCAGTATTAAATTGGATTTTTCTGAAAAGGGCGTGAATTGGAAAATAATTTTATCCTAGATCGTTAACGAGCTTACGACTTTAGAGAGAGAGAGAGAGAGAGAAAGAGATAATGGTCAGATGCAAAAAACTGAATATATTATCCATTTTATCGTTCTCGGAAGATATCGAAGTGTAGGTGTCAAGAAAAGATCGTAGGGAGAAGACAGTATGTTACTAAATAATTAAGTAATAGAGATGTCCAATTGCGATTCCTGATAAACGATGATGAGCATCCGATAAAGTCGGTACATTGCCGCAATTAATCTTAATGACGTAAAACGGTAATTATCGATTATCCTGTGACAATCTCCAGGCACTACTGCGGCACCGCCACATAATAAATCTACTCCTACATCGCGATGTAAATGCCAGCTAACTGGTACACGGACAAAGTAGCCGCCGACACTGGCGGCGCGGCGAAAGGCGGAGAATTACGCCCATGGTCTAGCCCATCGGATTCCTGAATTGCAAAGTGCACTACGCCATACGCCGCTTAATCAACGGTCGTCAATGTGTCCGCTGCAGTGGAACGGTTTATAACTCTATGAGGAGGACAAACGGCGCCATGATGGAGAATATTGATGTTAACAAAACATTAAATCTTTATGTAGTCGTTAATGAGCGACATCATTTTTTTTTATACACGCACACGCTTTACACGTGAAATAATTATTACGGAATGCAGCTATTGAATTTTTACGTTTTTTTTTTTAATTCTGAATATATAAACGTGCAAGAACCAGCCAATAAATTATTTATGAACAAAATTATTAACGCGTGACGCAAAACACGTGCATCGACTTTAACGAATGAAATAATGAAGCCGTCGAATTAATGAACGATAGAAAATGTTAGTTATACGCCTTGTACCGTCGATCAATCGACGCCATCAAAACGGCCGGTTAAGATTAATTGCTAATTGATACTAGTTAGAAGCTCCTTTTCTGCTACCAACTAAATGTGGTAGCAACTGCACAACGCGTGTCATACTATTATAATGTACTGTTACAATCATCCACGAATCAATAAGTACAGGAGATGCTAACGGAAAATGACATCGAAATACATATAAATATAAATATCTTGGGGAACTGCGATTTACGAAACAAGATCACGCTGCCGAATTGTTTGCCTGGCGAACGGAGATTAGTCTTTTTTTACAGGAGAGCAGAGGCGCATCGTCCTGTAAAACGCTGATTTCGACCTGCAGCGCGCGCGTCCGCCAGATACTATCCAATTAGCGGCAAATTAATATTACCCGCGGTGTAATCAGGCTGGTACGCAGGCAGGGGCGCTGCGCACCGCTGCCAGCCTTCTCTCGGCATAATGACACGTATTACTCTGATTGGCAACAATTGGTAACAATTGACGGGCGGAACCGAGCCTCGAAGGTTCCGCTACTTTGCCCGCGTTGTTTACGACCAGAACTTCAAAACGTTACACCTTAATTGCGTGGCTACATGCTCGAAGAATTATCAAGGCTTCCTTACATCCCTACGTCATTACTTATTAGACATACAGTCGGCAAGTTCTAGCAAGAAACTTGTAGTACAGTCAGCTGTAAGCTCTTCCGTTTTTAGAACTCCGTTTGACCGAACGGAACTTTCTCATGTGGAAGTGAATAAAGACGTAAAGAATCGTGATATCCGCTCGTTAGTAAATTCTATTAAATTACTGCAACTACGACAGAAGAGGGACTGTACGACATTTATTGATTACTACTAAACTAAACGTGTAATGTGTGCAAGTATACTTATACATTCGAAATAAATATATGTATAGATAAAGAGAGACAAAAAAAAACATCATTACGTTCTTCTGACGCATTTGATAAACAAAAATTTAGGCGATAACCTTGTTACGTACAGATAAGAACATAGTCTTCAGATAATATTAATTTGTTTCTTAATTAATGTACCTTGTTTCTAACAATACAAATTGTTAATAAATATAAATGAAGGCTACGAAAAACTACGACGAAAGATATTCGCGTTAGATATGATAAGTGACGCATAAAGATTAGAGACTGAAGTGCTAAAAAATAATTGAGATAATATAATCTACACTTGTTAGCACAACTGATAACTAATGAGAACCTAATGAAATCGTGTTGTAAGCGTATAAAAAAACGAACGGAATCGAGCAGTGTTAATAGATTTTTAATGAAATGAAAAAAAAAAACACACTGGAAAATTGAATGAACCGACGATAAAACCAGCCAGAGGCTCTACTCGACTGCCGGGACGAGTTAGAGAAAGACAAGTGGAAATTACCTGTACATTACGATGTTGTAATAACTTCCCGACGACTCGGATGTGCGCTGAGGACGGGCCATCGGCTGCATTACGCGCCCGTAAAACGCGATACTGCTTCTAGCGTTGCATCCGCTCTTTCGCGGATTTTTTTTACCGGGTAAATGAGAGATCGTAGGACGGTGAGTTTATCTTCTCCCGGTTCTCGGCATAACGATCGGGAGAGCGCGTTTTCTCTCGTCTTTTGCATATCCATATTTGGAACGTTGGCCGCAAAAAAACGGTCGACCCTGCAAAGAATATTGTATATTTGTGAAAAATATTGTAAGATTCAACATTTTGCGCAAGTATTACAATACGGAAATATTTTTCTCTAAAGTTTTATTTCTTTTTAAAATATCCGCAACAGCTTTGACAGAAACTTTATTATTGTATGGAAATTATTGTATGAAAATTCAACAAATTATAAAGGTGCTTTATACATTAGTCAAGGTTGCAGATAGTTATAAAAAATGAGACGCTATATTGTATATTGTGCCACGATAATGAGCAATGATACAATCGTATGTGTTTACTTTAATAAAATTTAAAACTGCTAACCGCTAGTCGTAGTAAAGTCTTACAGAGTACCAATTTCGGAAGTTGGAATGTCCGCAAAATATAAAGTACGTAATTTATATATCCCATCTTAAATCTCTAATTAAATAAACTCATTGATATCATTTTATATGAAAACAAAAGTTTAGTTTAGAATGTGTTGGAGCGAGCCCGTGACATCGCAGATTCTAGCGAACCTCTCCCATTGCGATAAACACGTGGCTTAAGTGCCCGACTCGTGCGACTGTCATGCGATAAATAGCTGATCAGGTGAGACCATGGGTGATCTATGGATGAGACCCGCTCTGCCAGCCGTGCTCCGCTCCTCGATTTGGCACAACCGATCGGAGAGTCGAACGCGAATCAACGTGTACGTATCTACTCAAAATAAAGTATCGTTTTGTGTGAACTCAGCACGCGATTGATTTTCTAAACGGAACCTTTATCCCGAACAGAACGTAAAAATTATCGAAATTTCAAAACTGCAAAATACATTCAAATGTTTTTTCTAACCACGTGCTTTTTCTAAATATAATTCATTAGTATTATGAATCTATGTTTTTGTACACACACATCTGTCTGTAAACTTTGAAATTTCAAAGGCTTTCAAATTAAACATTTCTTTCTTGCAGTATTCATTTCTTATGCATTGATATTAAAAATTTCATTTACAGTGAATCATGCAGTAACTTTACTACTTCGGTATTTTTTATATGCTAAATCCAATTATAGTGATTTTGCATAAAAATTAAAAATAATATAGTTTCAGATATATTCCGTTGTGTATTAATTATCGAAGAGCTACAGATACAGTTAGTCTATTAAACTGTAAACTCAAATGTATTTAAATAGAAACATGATAACATTAAATATTGTCAAATACGCCAAGGGATCGTGGAAAAGCATTCCCCGAGACAAGTATGATAACTATAATTGACTAATTATTTTATAATGTATTTATCTAATTTTTAATCGTATTACCTAATCTCAAAAAAAAAATATATATATAGTTTTTATCTTTAACTATAAATAATTTGACATAGTGCATGGTTGAAGCATCAATCTTATCATGTAACATATTATATAAAAAAGTAACTAGAAAAATACTTGATTAAATACTTAAGATTGTTAAGAAATATAATATATATCTTTTAGCAGAAACACTAGGTCAATGTCGACAATAAGTCCCAAGGAAATTGAACACATTTCTACTTTCAAAAACATTTGGTGGGATGAGAACGGCCCATTAAGTGGCCTCCATTCGTACAATCCGTTCAGAATACAACTTGTAAAAGATGGACTGGTAAACGCCAAAATCGTCAAAATGCAAAATTCAGATCTTCCATTGAAAGGAATCAACATTGCGGATGTTGGCTGCGGCGGAGGTATATTAACCGAGGCTTTAGCTAAAGTAGGAGCGCAAGTAACCGGAATAGACGCATCGGCGGAATTAATAAACGTTGCTACAGAACATGTAAAATTAAATCCCAACATATCAGAAAGAGTGAATTACATTCAGACAACCGTGGAAGATTTCGCCGAAAACGAGAGAGAAACATATGATGCTGTTGTAACTTCTGAAGTTTTGGAGCATGTAGCAGATCCACAAATGTTTTTAAAGGTACGATATTGTAATAAAAGATATAAGATTTATTATTTATAAATGCCATCTACATAAAAATTAAATGTTTTCGAAATATTCTGTACAGGAATGTGTGAAAATTGTGAAACCTGGCAAGTCGATTTTTATAACGACGATAAACAGAACTCTAACATCTTGGCTGTCCACTATTGTAGCAGCCGAATATATTTTCAGATCTATACCTCGTGGTACTCATACATGGAGTAAATTTATTGCTCCACACGAAGTTCAACGTATACTGGAGAATTGTAAGTTTTATCTTACAATTAGTTGTTAATTCTAGGAGAAAATTAAAAAAGCATTTTGTTGCATAAAAATCATATATCTATTATAATTATAACAAGTTTGTAACAAAAACTTCTTCTTCATTTCTCTGTGATATTTTTTTAAATCTTTTCCTATTTCTTATAGATGGCTGCAAAACAAAATTGATTTATGGCTTTAACTTCAATCCATTGACAAAAAATTGGTCTTGGTCGTCCACTACACCTACTTTTTATGGACTTCATGCAATCAAACAAAACAAAATTGGCACATAAATAATTTTCAAAAAGTACAACTTTTTTTATTATTAAATGCGTACGAATGCTGTTATAGCTAATAATAAGATGCGATTTGTCGAGCGACACATAAAGTTATCGTGTTTATAAACGGTCTATTGTGCCGAACAATAATCAATTGTTTAAATATCACGTCAATAAGTTACACAATAGGGAGCATGTCGATATGATCCGAGCAGCATGTAATGATAATTTATCTGCAGAGTATTGTCCGCTACTACATAATCGGTGTATTTTCGAAGAACAATTCAAAGAGTGGAACGAAATCTTTTAGTACCCGAATCTTTTGCATCGTGGCAATTCTGTAATTAACAGAATAAAAATTTGTTCATTAAAAATTTTCTTTGTGTTCTTCCATGAACTCAGTAGCTTTCAAATGCCATGTAGATCCTGTATATTATATATATTATTCTCGATAATTGTGTTTATTGAAATAAAATACATATTATTCATATACTGCAGAAGTCGGTTATGATGTTATTTAATAACATTATTTAAAATATGTATTTTAAATTTAAAAAAATAAAAAAGTTCTTTAGTATTATTGCTCTAAATAATTTCTTCTGCTATATTTCTTATTTAATATTTTAAATAAGTTTTAGAATCTAATCTATTTTACATTTTTCATTTTAATTAAGTCATATCAGTTTTTTACTGGCCCCTGCGATATTTATTTTAATATCTGGAATTTATTTTATATCTGTTATTTTAAATAAGTTATATCAAGGTCAATTTTAATGACCCCTGATATACTGATATTAATTTCATATATATCGATTTTTCAATATTGCTTAAATGTAAGAGAATATTCCATACATAAACTTTTTTGTGATTACATGTATATAGTGTATCATAAAAATGTACATGTAATAGTATCAATATTATAATTAGAATACATAACTGGTAAACAATAAAAAAAATTGTTAATAAATACAATACGCGTCATACGTCGTCTGATGAACCGTATTTTATCTGTGACATTGCAGTATGCGTATGCAGCGGATTTTCAAACTCGATTTTTCGAAAACTAAGCCGAAAATTAAAAAATTTTACTCTATATTTTGTTTCTTATTTTTTCATAACTAGCAAAGTATTGGAAACTAGAATTAAGGAGCACAAAACCTATATTAATGGAAACACTATTAGCATTCTGTAATCACTGAGCATAGAATTAATATCACACATGACTTTAGTTGAAGCAACATATTAATATTAGATGAAGAAAAGAATTTAAACAAAAGACTTGCATTCGAGATGATTCATATTAATAAATAACAAAAACATGGCTTAAATTTATAAAATGACAACGAACCTCTGTATGACGATCATATTGCTGTGCATCGATGTTTCCATTTTATTTATGTTATTTGTTTAACACCACGTAAGTACATATCTCTCTCTCCTCTGACCATATCTCTCACAAGACTTCTAACTTACGAACAGTGCACAGTTGTTTTGCGTGCATTATTTTAAGTGTCTTAACAACATTTTATATGTAAGTTACAATTTACGATTATTTTAATTTATTGTATATTTTAAATTTAAAAAAATGTTCAGTTTGATTTATACGATTTCATTGCTTCAGCATTTTATTATTCTAAATGCTGGATAAGCGATTGACCTTTTTAATTTGGACTCAGTGCAATTGCGTTTTATATCTTGACTGCACGTTATTAAGTTTCCACTTGACAATCTCAAGACAATTTTAGACAACTTTTCAATTCTGCGAATTTTATACATACATTCTTTTTAATTTTGTACTGAGGATGACTCAGGACTGAGGAAAAAAATTTATTGTTGTGCATGTAAAAATACTTGTTCAGCTAAATGAAGATAGATCATTTATTATAGATTATTAGAAAATATTGTGTCAGAAAATATGTGTACCAAAAAAATCGTCAGATCAATATCGACAGTAGATCCCAAGGAAATTGAACACATTTCTACTTTGACAAACATTTGGTGGAAACCTAATTGCCTCCATTCATACAATCCGCTCAGAATACAACTTGTAAAAGATGGATTGGTAAACGCCGGAATCAAAATGCAGAATTCAGATCTTCCGTTAAAAGGAATGAAGATTGCGGATGTTGGCTGCGGCGGAGGTATATTGACTGAGGCTTTAGCTAGAATAGGAGCGCAAGTAACCGGAATAGATGTATCGACAGAATTATTAAACGTTGCTAAAGAACATG